CAAATTTCGGAGCCATTGTAAGGCACGACGTAGGCAAACGTACTGGTGTATATCCATTAAAGAACAGGAATTGCGGCAACTAGAAAATTGTAGGTTCTTCAACACAGAGTGATACAATGAGATTTTTTGTAAAATTTTTGCAAAATTCTTTTTGTAAAATTTTGTAACAATTTTTGTAAAATTCAGACCTGGTGAACAGTCGGTCGCTGGGTAGGATCAGTTTGTAGCAGGCATCGAATAAGCTGCACAGATTCCTCAGAAATATCATTTGGAATTGTATATGTGTTGTTTTTGATTCTATTATATGTATCCTAAAACAACAAATAATTTCCCAAAATTTTTCTTCAAAATTTTTTTCAAATTTTCAAAACAAATAATTTTCAGTGGTTTAGTATACGAACACACGAAGAACAACCTTGAGCGACGAAGTTTCAAACGGTGGCCTTCCTACCAGCAGCGTATACAGGATACAGCCGATAGCCCAAATATCAACTTCGTATGAGTGCCCTTTTTTGTCTAACATTTCAGGCGCAATGTAATTTGGTGTCCCGCATAGCGTCTTTTTTCTGTAACAATAAAAATGACAAAAAATTAATTTTTGAAAAGATATTATATATGAAACTTATTTAAATTAGAAACAAAATTAAAGTTGAACTAAAAAATTAAAAGTTAAAATCGATTAAAAAATTTATGAAAGAGTTAGCATTTTTTACGAATTTACGAAAACTAGCATTTTATGGGAAAAAATAAAAAATAAAAAAATTAGCGTATGAAAAGGAACTGTGGATGACCTCTCGCCTTCATTTTCCACAATTGTCGCTAGGCCAAAATCGCCCACTTTGATCTCCATGTTATCGTTCAGAAACAGATTGCCCAACTTCAAATCGCGATGAATAATTCTGTTGTCGTGCAGATACGCACACGCTTCCACAATCTGCAGCAACGATATTTTGGGGGAAACGATGCTGTCACTCAAATTGAAGCAGATAAAAGGACTAAAAAAAAGCACCTGTCTCATGAAATAGCGTGCTTCCGGCTCTGTGACACATGTACGACGCTTATGTAGCTCCATCAGTGACTGAAACAAAAAATATCCAGATGTGTGCGAAAGTACTGAAAACTACATTACGGTATGTGCCAAAGAAAACTCAGAACGAACTCTGCGCGGGCAAAGCTCCAACAAAATGTAGACGTTATCGGAATCCTCGAAGAATCCATCCATCCGCACAATGTGCTTGTGATCCAATGTGCGATGAATTCGGATTTCTTGTGCCATCTGAAAATGCGTAAAAATACGAATCCAACAGATTCTGTGCGTTGAAGAACTCACATCCCCAGCAACAAATTTTCAGATTTTCACTACCGATCGAGTATTCATCGCTCAAAACTTATTACAGGGCTAGTCACAAAAAAGTACGTTGTGATTTAACTTGCAGAATGAAACAGGACTACTGGCAATGTCCGGAACGAATAGGATGAGGAGCTAAGCTCAAGTCGCACCACTAGGTACCAATTGCCCGTAGAAACGAATGGTACTCCAACAACGAAAACGACTGTCTGTTGGCCTTTTTATGCGAAAAGTTAAAAATTCGTATAAGGATGCGCATATAAAAGAAGTCACAGTAAAGGAGTGTAGGATGTGCAAGTCCATTTTAGCATACTAAAGGCCTCAGGCTAATTGTAATTCTGGCAAAATGGGAGGGGTCGAAATCCCAATGTTTTTTCCTATTTAAGTTTTTTTCCGCACTTTTTTTTGTATAATTTTCGTATTTTTTTGTATCATTTCGCACTTTTATACAAAAATTTTTTTCGTATTTTTGTATCATTCGGCTTGCAGCTTTATTTGTTTTTTCTTTTCAGCCGGCAAAATTATGGAACGATGAGGGGAAGAGACAGGGTTGTTTCCTATTCAACTACTACTACCACTGATGATAACAGTAATAATGATATTTTTAATATAATAACGCTGGAAACAGTAACAATATAATAGTAGACGCAACCTTTTCCCTCTGGTGATTTTTGAGCAGAAGTATTTTTGCAACAATTTTGCCCGCATACATCCGCCCTTCTTTGATATCGAGCAGTTCATAGCATCGCGCAAAACCGCCTTTACCCAGGAATCGCCCCCTCCGGTACATCTTTCCTGTCGTCTCGTCCAGCATCAGATTTGGCACCTCCTTCAGCGCTGGTGTCTTCGCATGCACTTCCATTTTATCACCTTGGGATCTGCAGAACAAGGTAACATCAGAGCAGGGCAAGTCTAATACGCCACCGGTGCCTCACAATCACCCAGTACATTCACAGGCACTACAAATGTTAGCCGATAAATCTAAAAACTCGGTATAAAAGCACACGCAGACAACCTCTCGACAATATGCGTTTTCTGCGTTGCATGGATGCAAAAAAAGGCATAAAAATCCGTCGAGTAAGTCAATGAAAGGGCAGCAAAACCCCTTCTTTATCCCTACAGAGCCGTAGCTGTTGTTGTTATTGTCAGTCGCTGGTGATTGCATTTTGGCACCGCAACGCAGCAGACAAACGTTGCGCAACAAACAAGGTTAGCTTACACAGTGCCTTATACAGCGCAACAGACAAGGTTGGCCACTGGCGGATCCACCGGGGGAGGGGTAGCCAGGGGTCTTTCGCCCTCCAGCTGCTCAAGTAGCCCCCGTCCTCCTCCCCAGTTTCTTTCCCCGCACCTCCCACCGGTCGCTAGGACCGATGAATGGGGGAGGAGGAGAATGGAGCTTGAGACGTAGTGACGAATGAGGGGGGAAAGAGAGAGAAATCGACCCCCCCCCCCTCAAGAAACCGCCCTGGATCTGCCTGTACAGCGTGTTCGTGGATGCGACGCTGATCTTTTCGAGGTGGGGCAAATTTACGTTAGAATAACCAAGTTTGTCTGAGCAGGCGTTAGAGAGATCGACAAGAACAAGTACGAGTTTGCTGTGACCCGCACCAATAGAGCCAGAAAAAACACATTTGAGTGAGGGCCGCAGTGTTGAGCCAGGCACACACACACTCCCTCGGTCAGAGGTCATTTTATCGTTTTGCCTCATCGAGTATTTGGTACGGCTGCCCGGTGGCTGGCTGTTACTCGAGAGCGAGATGCTCGAGAGCGGAGAACCTGTGTAGTTCGATCCATAACAGCGACCACACGTGGGAAGAGCGAGATGCTCCCCTCACGTGTGGTCGCTGTTATGAAGAGAATCCCGAGCAGGTCGTCCCTAAGTGAGCTAAAGAATTACATAAACAACACAAAGGGCACAACGCACATCTAGCACTTTTTTCTACGAAAAAAAAAAGACGGAGAAGAAGCACAATACATTACTGAAACTGGAAAAGATCTTAAGTATGTGTACGGTTCGATTTTGGCTTTGGCTTGAACCTGCGGACCACACGGACAAAGGAAGAAGTTTATTTTCACAAATGCAAAAAAACTCTGGGAGTGCTGACACGTGCAGTTCCTGAAGGCCTGCTGCTGAAAGCACGCACAACCGAAGGAGTTGAAAGTGATAAAAACGGCGAGGGTGGGGTGACGAATTGAACCAGAAGAGGCTTAGGGATTTGGGGGAGCTTATATAGGGCTGGTCAAAGGTGGGATGGAAGGGCCTGGAATGGCGGTTAGTGGGGAAAAAGGGGCAAGGAAGACTTGGGTGGCGCGAGAGGAAGGATTTGGAATGAAGGGATTGACCCTTCATCGCACACATGCGTACACCGAAGGTGCTTTTAAATAGTGAAAAAAAGAAGTGCTGAAATAGAAGGTTAGCAGGG